TTTGAGATTAACCCACTAGCTCATATGTTCATATGAGTCCAACGGCTCAGATTGAATCTGGACCGATCTGACAATCATGGATGTTCGGTAGTGTTTGAATCTTTTATTTTTTTTTCTACAAATCCAAATTACTTGAAATTTTAAACGTGTGTTTATAAAAAAAAAAGAATCTTCGAAAAATATTTTACATAAAATAATTTGACCAAAATACCCCCAAAAAGTTTTGGGGGTATTTTTGTCATTTTATTTTTTACAAATAATTTTTTGTTATATTTTTATTAGGTGCGTCTAGATGAGAAGAACACACACCTAAAATTTCAAGTGATTTGTATTTGTAGGTGCGCCAATCATGTTCATCAAGCTTTGATTGCTTCCAATTTTAATAAATTGGAGCATATGTGCTCCCCAAAAACTAATCTTCTATAATAACCCCAAATTATGTAAAAATATAACGGGACACTAAATGAGCTTAACCCTAGGATCCTTGAAATGAGCTTAACCCTAGGGTTAACTTGAAACTTAACCCTAAGATCCTTGAGAGCTCCTAACTGATTTGCAAATGAGCTTTCGAGAGGTTTTCCAACTGATTTTTGGGCGATTTTGCAAAAGATGTTCTGTTTGAAAGCAGGTTCAATCATTTGGTTTTACGGGTTTGAGCATCAAATTGAAGGAGCAAGAGCCTGCCATTACTTTTCCACCATTGCCTCCTCTCTCTTTGACCCTCTAAATAGAAGTCATTTTGTAGAATTATAATTGTCTTGAAAAACCAGTCTAGATCTGAGAGATACAAAACAATTGGGCTTGTTCTTTTTAAGGGATTGGAAAAAGGGATAAGGCTATGAGGCAGGGAAGTGAAGAGAGAGAGAGAGGGGGAGGGCCAAATGTTGAGAGAGAGATGATGGGGAGGGAAAGACCCAGTATCGTTTTTCAATTTTTGAGGCAAAGGTCTAAAATGCCCTTGTACAGAAGCTTTGAGTTCTAATAACATGTGGGCAATGGAAGTAAAAAAGTGGTTCACAAGAATTCTAAGTTGAACTCAAGTTTTTTGGGGGGTTGTTAAACATAGAAAATCCCATATATATACATATATATATATATAGAAATTGAGTGGGACCTTGATTCTTACCACAATGAAAGCAACCGAATTAAAGTTGCTTCAATTGATCAGTCTATAATGAGAATTAGCAGAGCTAATGTTCAACCAATATTTTACATGTTATGCATAAAGCGGAACAAATTTCAAAGCCACGAGCAAACACATGATATGAATTAGTAGTTCACAACCACAATGGAATTTACTTAGGGAGAACCAATAAGAAATAACAAATCAAGCATATACGATGTGCCAATGGCAACCTGGTCAAAGCTAGTCCATTAATCAGTATGCAGTCATGCCACATCTTGTCCATTAATCAGTATTCAGTAATGCCGAATGCTTAATAATGCATGTGGCAACCCTGGTCAAAGCCTCATGAGGGTTACCAATATCTTCCGCAAAACAACAGACATGATGGAGAAGGATATGATCTCAATTATGAACTCTATTAAAGCATATAATTTAAGATCTTAATTTGATCAGGTTGGTCAGTGAGTGCCACAGACAGTCAAAAGCATAACAATTGCAGAATATTGCAAGATCCATTCCCATAACTTCCTCAAGAGGGAAAAGTGGTAATTCAGGAAGGGCAGGAATGGGTGGTGTATTCAGGAATACTGAAGCATATTAGAAACACGACGATGACTGTTGTTGAAGGTTGGGCACTACTAATGGTGCTAAAGTTGATTCAGCACCTGAGGACCTCCTACTCAGTGGAGGGGGACTTCTTAAATTCTCCATCCCTGGTTTTGGAGCATGTGTTTGAAGAAATCAATGAAGTGAGCAGTTCCATGAGCTTTTCTACCCAACACATGGAGGATACTATAGCAGATATCCTTGCTAAGGAGTGTTCTAATCGTTCAAACAGCCACTCCCTGAATAGAACAAGGTATTCCTCCTAAATCCATCAGAGTCTTGCATTTTGGGTGATGTAATACAGGTAAAATGTTTTCAAATATCTATTTGTCCTTCTTTCTCATGCCTCTTTCTTTCCCCTCTTTCTCCCCTAATCTTCTTTCTCCCTTCACTCTCTCCTCATTATTCTCAACAAAAGTTTGGAATGAAACAACCTTTTGCGGCTACCACAGCTTGTGAGTACCACAATTTTTAGTAACTATACAATATTATACATAGTAGTCACTTTCCTCACAAAAAGAGAAGAAGAGAGAGAACAAGAAAGGTACCATGGTCCTCAATGTAGGTATTCACTTCCATTCAGAAAAATGTAGAACCATAGAAACATATGAACCTCGTTATAATGCAACTCAAAAATGGATGTTTTCACATAATTGTCATTGTGCAAGCTCTCTTGCTATTGTCCCTATCATATTCCAAGGTCCAATGGATTCATAACTATTAATTATTTATTAAAACAGTAACTACTCATTAATTATTAAAGCATAGGACAAGAAACCAAAAATTACACTTTGTTAATGCGGTGATCCATAGAAAGTATAAGTGCACTAATATCTACTGTTCAAAAAAGAAGTTAACTATGAAACATAAGATGAATTATTTTTGGGTTTGTACAAATGCAGGTTCTAATCAAGTTCAAATTAACAATCACAAGATCACACTTACAGGTGCAAAGAGTTCATAGTTTTCGCTCCTTTTTGGAGAGTTATTTCATATGTCCTGCCACAAAGATCTTGCAAAAATAACTCCAAAGCTTTAGCTGCATGTAGAACACATTGAAGAAGTTATCATGCTAGACCGGAAATCATAATTGGAATTCCAGTAAAAAAAATCATCTAAGATTTTCATCATCATTATCAGAGCCTTATCCTAACTATTTGGGGTCGGCTACACGAATCCTTTTCCACCATTTTGCTCGATCAAAGGCCATAACCTCAATAAGACCATAAGTCCGTATATCTTTTCTCACTACAACTATCTATGTCCGTTTGGGCCAAAAAAAAAAATTTCATTTCAGATGCTAAAGCAAAATATGAATGTGATAAAACAAAAAAGTATTTTGCCACTCACATACTAAAACAGGCACTGCCAATGCAATCTTCCCAATATCCTCATCTGCTTGCATGATCTTCTTAATTCGAGACTGCAATAGACATATGCACAAAAGTTACCACAACACCACTGATATTCAGAATTACAACCTAACCAACTGCATAAATTCCAGCAGAACAATCCAGATTATTAGAATAAATGGAAAGATTTGTAAGAAATCCTTCGAGAAAATCTCTCTAAAGTCAGACATATTCTCTATGCTTTGAAAAAGCCAAAACGTGTTCAATGGATACTAAAATAATTCGTTCCAAGGCTAAGAAAGGAAAAAAAAAATGCTCTACTAATTATAAATTATTTCTATACAATCCCATAGCTTCTCCACAGTCAACCAATTCTCCTTTTTTATTTTGCATATCATGAACCAACCAAAAAAGTCAAGAAAGATTACTCCCAGGTACATCTATGTGTTTCTATTAAAAACTTATTTGGTTGTTTTCTTCTATCCATTTGATGGATGACCTTTACATGCTAGACAAATGAAACATGTTCATATAAAAAATTTGCCAAAGTTACAGCATTTCAAATACCTAATGATAACCAGAATTAGCACGAAAAATCAAGCAGAATCCATAGAAATTCATAAGTTAGTTACCCACAAATACGGCTTTCTGACGAGCTGGGTATGACAACAGCTTGAAAAATTATGTGATTTATACCCCGACAATTCTACACAGGTGAATGTGACGATTCCTGAAGCAGCTAACATACAAAGAAAGTTTTACCACTCGAAAAATAGTTTTACCACTCAAAAAATAAATGTCACCCGCATTATGTTAACAGGACAAATACGACAAGCAATAATTTGTAGGTAAGAAAGCTCAAACTACCAAACCATAATTCTATAATCCTCTCAATGTAACACATTTCAGAGGTATGTACCTGGAATATAATATAACATTTCATAAGGAAACACATTTCAGAGGCATGTACCCAGAATATAGTACACAATTTACAGGTGAGGTACCATATAAGCTAAACTGTACGAAGGCTTATCTGATATGTCAAATTTATGGCAAAGATGGAAAGCACGTGAGAAGAGTGGAACAACAAAAACTGAACAGAAAAAAGTTCGAAATTTCTGAAAGTCAATATCCTTTGGAGTGGAAGCATGATAGCTTTTAAAAACTTTTAAAATCTTTTTATCCAGAATGAATCAATAACTGGAGAAGTAGACTTTTGGTACTGCAAATTAAAAGACTCTCAAAGCAAGCCAGATGAAGAGCAGGAGGCATGGACAGGACCTGCATGAAGAGCAGGCAGCTCAGCACAGGCCGGGGAACTCAAGAAGCTCGAGTGATGAAACGAAAATAACTGTGCCTGTGTGAGGGTTTAAGGAACCATAATCAATGAATGAAAAATACCCCTCCCTCCACTATTCTGAGAAGCCTTATGTCTGATACAAAAAATCCAACCTCAGAATCTGTAAGGCTCCATTTCAATTGGTAGATGGTATATGCCCAAATTTCCACTTTCACCTGCTAATTTTTCTTGATGTTTGAAGCTCTGAACACGAGCTGCAGTTTTCTGTGTCCTAATAGTATATCCTAGAGCACCGAAAAACATTGCATGGCTGATCACAGCTACTTTAGTTTGCAAGACTTGATTATCCGGTTTGAGATTCAATCATTTACTGGCCAGCAGTATAGTACCTAACTATACTCTAGACACATCTTTTGAATACACTCAAGAAGCATCTAAAGTTCTTTCCTAATTAATCAAACCAAGGTCTATAACCTCATCCATAGTAGAAATTAATATCCATTACATCTTCAAGCTTATGATTCAATAAGCCAAACCTAGAATATAAAAGCGATATTATGCATGTGAGTGTGTGCATAGATCATGGGCTGCTAATGTCAATATGAACATCAATATTGCAGAAAGTTAACTGGGACCAAGGGAGCTTCAGATGGGGAGTGTTAGGGCCTCTTAGTTACAATGGGACAGGCATTACTTGCCTTTGCTCTTTAGTTTGTTGTATAGTAAGCAACAGTCTCAAATGTCTTTGGTAGCCCCAGGGTGAAGTCAAGCCCTTCACAAGGAATGCATTGCTTACTGGTAACAGTTGGTAAGCAGTTTCCACTTGTTGAAATTATTTGAGTATAAAAATCCTTAGAAGCTCTCTTTAGCTGTTAATGATCTAGTTCAAGGTATCCAAACATGATGATATGGGTCTATCAAGTCTCAACCACCCTCAAATGAAACGTTTGATAGCCTAAATGAATTTGTATGCCTTTGCTCATTCTGTATAGGCCTGAATCATAATAATAAAATCGTAATTACAGTGAAGAAGTACAAGATGATGAAACCATAAATACTATCTGAGTACAAAGTGGTCTATTTGTCAAGTTGGGCAGACGTATAAAGAATAATTTTCATCAATATTCAATGTGAGAGAAAATATAAGGAAGGGGAGGAAGCTCATTCTCATTTGAGTAGGCCCTCGAAATGATCTAATTGTCAACCACCATCTCCTAGACAGAAGAAGTACCCATAAATTCAATAAGAAATCCCCATAAAAATTCCTCCCAATTTCAACAATAACTAAATTTTAATGAAAACACACTAGTCATCAACATGGAAAAACAAAAATATCAGTTCTACCTACGCCAAAAAGAGATGAGCTATTTGACCAGAGGCTACAATTCACACCAACAGCTCCTTATGTTAGCCCCACACATCAACAGAACAAGGAATAATCAAACCCAGGCAACAAAACAACCAGTATACACTAATATAATGACCTAGATATCAGATCAAGTATGAAAAATTATGAACAAGGCAAGATTTTACAAAGGCCAAATAAAACCCTAGAAATGGCAGGACAAAGCGCAAATAGGCTCAAATTGAAGGGAATTCAAAGCTATACTGCAGGGAAACGAGTGTCGAGCTTCTTCCTCATGGCTTTTGGAGAAATCACCCCATTTCGTGACACAATTCTGATCGATGTAATAAAGTAGCAGAAAGCTCCCAGGTTTTCATGTCTTTGAACGGATCTCTGATTTCGCCTGAATTCCCTGTAACAGTAACCCCTCCATATCCCCCGTCTTTCGGATCCTCAAGCAAGGGCTGCTGCGTCTATTTTTATTTGTTCGGTGAAGCCCCAAATTTTTTTTTTTTTAAATCATGAAAGTAACTCCTCTTTCCGCTTTCGAAATGTGAAAATGTACCCTTGCTTTATTCCAAGGGAAATTGGCAAGTAAAACCCTCCTGATTCCTTATATTCCAAAGAAAGTGAGTAATGTAGTAAACGAGCTTGGGCAGTTATTAGCATGGTTTTATAATTAACTAATATTGATTGGATTCATATCATCTGTGGGGCAGGTGTACTTTGCTAGTATTTATTGAGCATCTCATCGCTTTAAAATGAGTTGAAAATGACAAAAATCGATAGAAATAGGGAAATGGAGTAGAAGGACTGTTGTTTTTTATTATTATTTATTTTAAAAGTACCCTAACTTTTGATTTATTAGAAAAAAAGTACATAATTTTCTAAACCTCATCTATACCATTTTTTCAAAGAAAGTGAGATACATAGTAACCGAACTTGGGCTTGAGTGGTTAACAGGTAACATTTAGCAGTGTTATATCTTAAGTTTGATTCCTACATGTGAACTACTTTAAAAAAAAAAAAGGATTTTTTTTTTTAAAAGTAATTCAGCGGTAGAAATCAATCGTAAGATAATATCACCTTATCTTATTTAGAGTTTTTTAATATGAAAAAAAACTCTAAAGAATAAATTAATAGAATTTTGTGGACTGACATTTTCTAAGCATGAAAATGAATGAAGGTAGTCCTGGATTTTCTAAAATAACTTACGACTATCTTGCATCAATGAATTAGTTACCCAGTAGTGTATAGCTCATCTATTCAATACAATTTTTACTAAAATGCAGGTTTTTTAAATTAATCTTAAGTAAAATACTGTTTAGGACAATGTAACTTGTCATTTTTGTAGTGCCACTATGTCGTACTACCTGCTCAATTTGTATTAAAATTATTTTAAAGCAGCATTAAGCTCAAGTAAACTACTCCCTAGAACAGCACAATGCGTCATTTTTTTTTTGTGGCATTATGTTGTGCTGCCCACTCAATTTGTATGAAATTTATTTTAAAGAAGTTAGAGTAAATATAGAATTTAGATAAATTGGATATATTATTTTATTATAGAGTTTAATTGGGCATGTGTGTTAGATTTCTTAAAAGTTCTAAACTAGAAGTTATTTGATTATGATAATGTTAGAATATATTATCATTTTATTTTTAATTAATTTTATAGCATTATAATGTATCATTTTTGTGTTGGCACAGTATTGTGCCACTTGCTCAACCTATGTGAAATTTATCTTAAAGAAGTCAACATGAATAAAGAATTTATTTAAACTGGATATACGGTTTCATCATAGACTTTGAAGGGCAAAATGTATTACATATGCATAGACTTTATGCTTTAACTGTGTAGTAGAAGAATAACATGAGTTTTTTAAATTAATGTTATGTTTTGTAAGTCAATTAGATTTATTAATTAGTTTTGTAACAGTTTATTCTAATTAGAGGTTAAATTGTAACTTATAAAAGCAA